CTCTGCCATTCGCAGGCAAATCTTGTTGAGACTAAACCATGCACAACCACAGGCAAGCTGGCAGTCAGAATAACGGCAGATGGGAGGCTCTTGGACAGACATTTTTGTACCCTTGACAAGAATTAAACATGCTGCTGGGGATTATGATTGTCAAGGGGCCACAGGCTTAGCATTAGTGTGATGAGTAGGGCACTGCCAGAGAGGCAGAGAAAGATGGCCTCAGGACCACAAAGACCAAGGAAGGACGGTCTCCTCAGCAAGATTTCAGGGGCCTTGAGCTACTGGTACACTTCTGGAAAGCACAGACTGCCTGCCTCGCCTCCCTGCTTCAGATCTAAGGACAGGACTCAAAGGCACAGGCAGGGCTGCCTGAAGAAAATGTGGCAAGGAACCTTCATGAGGAGGCACCTCATCTGAAATTCACTTGCACAAAGACCCTGCAAACAGCCTCTTATGGTACAGTTGGCAACAGCACTCCCAGTGCTTTCTCCACCTATACCAAGCTCTTCAAAATAGTGTCTCTCCTCAGCACAGGTTTTAGCATTCCCCTCTTCTGTTAGGAAATGATGGCTTCTGGCTCCATTGGCAGTGTTTTCCTGAACTCACCATTACACCACAACTCTGTCTTCTTATGACAAAGCCCACATGGTCCCATGGTGCCGTCCTATGGTCCATTTATCTCTCATGCTATTCCAAAAAATGTCCAGAAAAAAATTTTTTGTGTGTGTCTGTGCACGAAAACAAGTGGAAGGCACATCTGATCCTTCCTTTGTATGAGGATATGTATTCACTGATGGCATCTTTTATAAACATATCATGTATTCCACCTAAAGGTGCTGTGTGCTCTGAAAGAGCCAAATATATTAGCATTCTTCAACCATAACTTTTGAAGTCGGCATTTGACTATTTTTGCATTTCTTCCAGGTTGTAGTTAGACAACTCCTAATTCTACGGGGAAAGCAAAGACTATAAAATGCCAGAGCTCCACTCTGCTGAAATAACATTAGTGAAATATCAAGTCCTTTATGATGTCATGAGGGATTCCTTAATGTGACTATAGCCTCCTAATGACATCATAAAAAACTACTGCAACCTCAGAAAACAGCCAAGGGTCATCAATCAGCCCATCTTCTCTCCTACCCACCAGGGGCAGCAGCCCAACTTGCTCCTATCTGCTTTTTATGAGCAGTGTTGTCCGCTGAATAGCACACAGAGAAGAGACTAATAATCATACAAATATCAGGGAGAGCGGTCAATCATCACCTGAAATGTTCAGTACACCTGAGGGAAATGGGGGTGCCATAGCCTGAAGAGCCTGCAGGTTTAGCATGTAGAAGAGACAACACTACTCCCCAAGAGGTGACCCGGCCTTCTCTGGGCAACAGGCCATACCAGTTGGCAATTCAGTCATTTTTCAAATGTGGGGAGAATGGGACCAAAAAAATTCCTTGGTTGCTCTCTTCATCCTCTGTCTGCAAGCAAAGGCTTTTTCCATGTTGCCCAGATACTCATCTGCATGTCCCATATTACAAAGACCACACTGAAAGAAGGCTTTGCATCCTCAAATTGAAATGGATGATAGTCCCAAGGAGACGCAGTGACTGCCAAATCCTCTGGCAAGAATGGAAACAGCCTCCTCCACATTTGAAAATGCAATGCCTTGGAGTTAAAGCCTCATTATACTCTCTTAGGAATACTTGGAAGTTTTCCAGGGTTGGGGATGTCTCGAGGAGTTTCCCAGACTCTCAGAAAAAAAATTAGTGACACATACTGTGGTCTCTAGATGTTTCACAATTCCTCTCAGAAGGTGTTTAAAATGGACCTTCTGCCAGCATAGTGCTGACGAAAGAAAAGGGATTTTTTGCCAGATAAGAGAAAAGACCTGGTTCTTTACCCCGTTCCTCACAATTTTACATATGTTTATGCAGTGTGCTCCCAATTGGGCAGGCTGTACTCGGGGTACTTTACAGTGGGCTGCAGAAAATCCTACTTAGGCATCCTCAAGCATGACTACTGTTAAGAAATTTCAACTCTTACAGGCCTGGATCCTGAGAGGTAACCAAGAATAGGGGCACACCGTGCTAAACACTCAACAAACAGAGCAACAGAGAGCACAACCTGATTAGATAGAAGAACTTCTACAGCTGGGAAAAACAGCCCAGCAGAAGAGACAAACTGATGGAAACAAACAGCGTTTGCCACGGTTTAAGTAAAGGAGAAAATTCAATGCAATACCCAAAATGAACTTTTTTCTTTTTTGAAATATGTAGCTGCTATTTCAAGAAAAAGCCACGGAGCAGAACAGGTGTCAGAATGGAAAACCCAAATGATATGTATGTATGTGAAACTTTGGCAATACTAGAAACTGAGAACACCAGACTCAGAAGTCACTAAACCCCTTCCCTTTTCTTCATCAATCTCCACGTTTGGAGACATTGGGAAGAGGAATTTGTTACAACTCTAAAATTAACTGAAACTGGAGATGGTCTCATGGCTTAGCAGTGAGAGTGGACGTGAGCTCTCTATGACTGAACCCTTTTAAGGGCCTGCAGGGTAGAAACATCACCAGCTTTGTGTTTTACTGGCTCCTCTCTCTAAGCAGCTGCAGGAAAAAAATCTGATTTCATAGGTGATTTCTGAAGATCGTGTTTTGACTTTACTTTAGGGTTCCAGTGTCTCAAACCAGCCTACACAGAAGCACACAGCACCCTTCTCCCCTCTTTTCCACATCCTTCGGTAGCTGCAGAAATGATCTTAAGGACAAACAACAAGGCAACAGCTCAAAGACTGGCCACTCTGGGGGCCAAGTCAATTAAATCAATAGAAATGAAAGTCATCCAATTACTGGATGAAGGAACAGCAACCCCCACTACCTTTTCTAGGGGCTTAGAAGCCTCAGTTGCTCTGGGAGGATTGTATCACCTTCCTCGCTCCTTCCAGCGCTCTGCTGGCTGCCATCTGATGAGTCCTTGTCCGCGCCAATTCCCCACCCTCAGTGTGTGCTGGGCCAGTAATTCCTGTTCACCCATTAGCTAACAGATGTTAGACCTCACTCCTTTTTTTATTTGTTTATTTCACAACATGAGAAAGAAACAACTTGTGTATTTTTTAAACACTCTTGAGGAGGCTGGAGGGAGCAGAGCGATTCCTGAGAAGAGCAGTTCAAGTCGAAATCATGCTTAGGGTGTCCATCTGAGGGCAGCTGCTGGGACCTGCAGCCATGCCCTGCTCAGGATGTCCCATGTGGCATCTTCTGCAGTTGGCAGCAGACCATGCTGTCTGTGTCCCTTTGTTCAGCACAAGCCAGTTCTCTGGTCAGAAGGTCCCCAGGGTGTCTCAGAGGAACGTGGTCTCAACGGAGCCAACTGACCACGGGCTAACAGCTCGTTAGCCGAGCCCAGGGGACAGGCTGATCCCCGACTATAAATCTTGTCACCTTTTTTATGCCTTCCCATTACTGTCCTCTTAAATCCAGTCCCGTAGTACCAACGCAACTGCCCACCCATAAAGCCTGATGAGGTCAAACATTTTAGTGCTGCTGCCTCCTCCTCCTCAGGGTTTCGTTCAGTTTCTCTTTCTTTCCTTCCCAACAGCAGGACTCTGCTGAATGGTGCTCTCAGACACTTCATTAATTTAAGGACACCAGAGCCCAAGCGGATCGTTTACAAGTCAGCATGAAGAACAGAGAAGAGGAGAAGCAGAGCTGCTGGCATTTTGGATAAACAAGACATTCAATAATTTTAATCTCAGTGTAACCCTGCTATTTCCGGATTATATAATCCCGCTCTTGAAAGAAGGCTATTGGAGCAGACTGTCACATTAAATAAACGCATTTGCCGCATACGTTAATTGCAGTAGAAAGCTGTTAAGCAAATAAGCTTGTTGCATCAAAATGTTATTCTTTTAGCAGGTCTGTTCCTTCCACGGATCTCCAATTCACAAGCCATGCTCTTTCAGAATGCACATTTCAGTTTAAGGCAAAGGAATATGTTCACTCAACTGATCGATTTTTTTATCACGTTGACTTTTGGTTAAATTTTAAGGCAAGCTGCGCCACAGAAGTAAATTCTTTTAACAGGTTTATTTCTACAGCAAGATTTCAATGGAAAGATTTGAAACTAATGTGGAGAAGGACTAACAAAAATGTATTTTCTTAACAGATATTAGTGTTAATAAATCCTGCAGCATATACTTCCCAACACACCTCACTCTGATACTAGGCATTTACTAAGCTCTTTTTATCACTTCCTTCAGGGTCAATGTTTTGTGGAAAAGCACCTGTGTTATGATCATATTTTCTGTTACTACTTGTTATGTAAAAAAAAAAAAAAAATCCTCTTAGCTGCATGTTATTCTTAAAAAATATCTGAGTTTTTGAACACCTATTTCTGATTCAGTAAAAAGAAGAGAATGTATTATATATACAGGGTGGGAATGCTGGTATCATGGTGCTTCTAAATTCACACACTTGTTTCTTCAGGCAAATGAAGGAGAACCCTCACAAATGGGAATACACACAATCTTCTGACAATCACCAAATCTGCATCTTTCTTTTGTGAAATCAAGTAACAGCTGGTTCATTCCACAGGCAAGTGCAGGAGCACTGGTGGTGGAAATTGAGAGCAGACTGGAAATGGACTGCTTCTAACGTGGCCATTGGCCTCTTTTCCTTCAGAGAAGTAGAAAATATCATCTTTTCATGTACAAACCTAAACATTAATTAACAATTCAAGTCATGCATTTCCAAGCCAAGAGCTGTTCAGGGGTATCTGATGGCAGTTTTCAAGGGGAAAAGGAAGTTCCTCTAATAAGTTCTGATTTTTGTAAAGACAAATCTGATCTTTGTGAGCCTAAATTTGCACAAACCCATTCCCGGATTTTAAAAATAAAGAAGAAATGTGGATAAACACATGTCTCTGGGATTCTTCAGGGGATCAGAAAAAAATTCAGAGGTGTACGTATGTGCACTATGCATCCAAGAAACTACATGGCATTCTTACCTGTAACAGGTACCAAAGCATTCTCAATCCATATTCACCAAAGCTTCGTTCCGTCTGTCACCACAGCAAAATTCTCTTAGCTCTGTTTTTGGTAAACTTATGCATCCATGTCATTTCACTTGCTTATCAGGATCTCAGTCACACTTGTGCAATGCTGTCAACCATATCCTGAAGGCACAGGAGTGCTTGAGGTATTCCTGCAATTAGAATTTACAGGGGAAAAAAAAAATCTACCGATGATGCATAAAATCTCAAATTTAATTCAGTCTTCTCAGAGAGTAGCCAGGAAGACCATTCTGAAAACAGTAACCACTCCGCTAATGTCAGCAGACCTGACTCTCAGGGAGAAGATGAGTTAAGTGAGGCCAGGTCAAATTCACATAATTACTTTTCAGAGCAGAAACACATTTCAAAAAGCATATGCAAGCAGTTTTAATTTCTCTGTTTGACCATTTCCATGTATTATCAATGTGCAGTTGCACTTTGTGTAAAAGTCAAACTGAATATAAAGAAACTACCCAAAGCAATCTCTTTTCACGAGCAACTTGCAGCAAAACGTTTCCTTAAAGTGCCTCTAAACGAACGACATTGAGAAAATAAAGAAGATTATGATCTACAAAAGTTGTGTGCTTGCTAGCCATATACTGCTTAAACACAGCATTCATAAAAGGGAAGCATAAAAAACTCCCAAACAGCTTTAGGGAGTGACAGAACCAAGACAGAGAGAATAAAAATGGACTAAACTTGCAGGTGTGGAAAACAGAGACTTAGGAAGGTACTCGAGTATCAGAAATTCAGCAAAGCCTCTTGGCAGGACAGCACCGTGTAGGCGACCTGTGGGATATCAGCCAAAGCATGAAATAAACTAAGACTCAGTTCTGTCAAGTGAGTTGCTCTGTAGCTGATCTGATTTTAGCTAGAAGCATGAAATAAACTAAAACTCAGTTCTGTCAAGTCAGTCGCTCTGTAGCTGATCTGATTTTAGCTAGAAGTATTCCTTTTACATAAAACTTGGCAATTTAAATGGTTAATCCCACTAACGTACCATGAGAAAGTCCGGGAGATTGTTGTCTATGATGAGCACTATCTACTTTGGGCTACAGAAGTTCATCTTCTCACAACTCTAAGTCTGTTCCTTGCATCAAAATCATGGGTCAGTTACCCTCCTCTGGCATCTTGCAGCATGACATTAAGCAACCTTGTCAAACACCAGAGTTGGTCCTGCTTTGAGTGTGGGGGGGTCTGTGACTCTTTTCTTAACACGACCCAGTGACTCAGATCTTAACTGGATGGTACTTGAATTTCTGCTTGTGCAGACCCCAGAGTTCACAAGACAAAGATATACCTGAAAAAAAATAAAAGGACATGAACAAGGGGCAATGCATATCCAGAAGAGAAAACCCACCATGCTAAAATGTGGAAGAATATCTGAATATAAATTCCTGGTGAGAAATGCATTTTTATTTATAGGAATAATATGTTTTAAAATCTTCCCTATTCTTCAGAGCTTGTTTCCAGAGCAGCATGTGAGGCTGAGGATCATTAAAAGTTTCTGCTGGCAGAGGGGTATCTCCTGTTGAGGCGCAAAATATAAATTGGTCTCTGACAGTAGGAGAGGCAGCAGGAAGTGAAACACACACTGCTGGGTGTTTGAAATTCATGAGTCCTGCAGTCCTCATCTGTTCCTGACTTCTACCATCTTTTTAGGGTTTTTTTTCCTCTGACTTCTCATTAGGTTAAGCTGTTATTTGCGTTCAGAATTAAAGATGGAAAAGTGAACGGTAAGAACACAAAATACTTGATGTTTTTGTGCACATGCAGGACTGCAGAGGATGCCAAGTTCTTGCATGCACTGGTTCTTGCACTTAGTTCTTGAGCAGAACTAAGGCTGGGCTGAATTGCCTCTGAGATCCTACTCACACAAGCCCTGCCAGCTGCTTCTGCTCCACCTACAAGCAAAAAGCACAGTCCTCCACTACACCAGCGATCAGAGCAACACAGCTGTATGTGGTTAGACAGGATTTAAGGTCTACAAGTATATGTTAGACAAATACGTATTTTGGGGATTTTTTTCTCTTTGCTGCCACAAAAGGTTATTGCTGACAGCTGTATATGAGAAATTACAGTGTGTGTAGCAATCTTGAGGACACCACATGAAATTGCATTACAGCAGTGATGGAAATAAAAGTGACCTTTTTTTTTTTTTTTAATGGAGCCTATTACACAGGACTTCAAGTCACATAAAAAAAAAATACTGGCAGTCTTAGATATTCCTATTGCTTGAATTGGTAAAAATCTAGACAAACTAAAGGAACCAAGATGACAGCTGCAGTGATCCTGAAAGTCTGTTCTGAGAAGGAAAGTTGCATGCTCTTGTCATGCCTATTCATATGCCCTAAACCCTCAGTTAAACTTCTATGGTAGGGGAAAAAAAGGGACGTGATTACTTCTGATTTCCTTGTTTTTTATTAAGGCAGATCCTCGTGTGACTTGTTGACTGAACTGAATGATACGACCAAGAGGTAACGCTCCCTACACCTCGAGTAGGAATGTCCTTCCTTTAGAAAAAGAAGTGCCTATTGTGGGTCAAGAGAGAGGTTCTACTTAGATGAGCTGCATTTTGTTCACAACTCACACAAAGATTCTCTGTACGTTGTTAAGTCACTTGATCTCCAGGTGTCTCAGTTTCTGGGTCCTTGCTCACTTTGTCAAGCTCTCGCTTTGGGCAAACAGGGCACCCACTTGACTTCGCCTCGAGGCACTACTGTAATAGAAAATAAATATTAATAACAATAAAGAGTGCTTGGACATGCAAGGCTAACTGTGGGCTGCCTCTGGCTGTCATGAATATGAACTTTGCAAATGTGTCCACAGAAACTCCAGTTGTATAAAACTGTCACAACCACCACCCGCATTTATCAAAGATGCAGCAGCAACTCCATCCCTCTTCCAGACTTATAACTATTGTCGCAGTGTTGCAAGGTGATTTCTCTTCCTACACTTTGTTTTGTACGTTAAAAAACGGCAAACGCTATGGTATAAAAGCTAATGGGAATGTCTCTGTCAGTGTATCCGTTTATGTCAAACAAAAACCTCTGAATTCATGCCAAATGTAAAAGTCAAATGTTTTAATGATATTAATATGAGATATTAATAACCTGTGAATACAAGTAAAAGCTAATGAGATTGCCTTTTATTGGTGTCAGTAATCAGTATTCTCTATATGCAGATGGCAAAACCCTGATAAGCCTTTATTTGATTATTAGTGAATCTAGGTCAGATATGGGCATCTTATTCAAAGGAGTATATAAAATTGTTGATACTGTCTGCCCCTTTCTCCCTATAAACATTTGTCAATTCACTCACCATCTGCTGTTCTGTGTATACACACGCCCAGGCTAATGTTAGCTGAGGTTGCAATATAGCTATGTTAAATAATTTTATCTGATTTGTTGGATGATGGTATTTCTAATGGAAAACAACATGGTAATTTCAGAATGTTACTGATTAGATGAAAATGATATTGCATCAAAGTTACTTCCTTAATTTATTCTGAAAAAAACAAGAAGGATTTCTCTATTAAGATGCTTAATTAAAATCTATCTTTCTCCATACAAAATCTATACTTCAGGTCCTGCATGTCATGTCTGAAAAGAACAAAGGCCGATTAGCATCTTTTACACTCTGCTTTTCTTTTTGTCACTTACACATTCATTACAGCAATTCCAGCCAGGTTTAGAAGGTCTGAGAGAAAGGATGCTGTTCCCCAGACTGGCTGAGCACAGGCAAGAAGAACAAAAGAATGCAGCTGATCTTTTTTAGGTTTATAGAGAAAATGTGGGGAGCGATGGGAGCCCAGATGGGACTGGGGGTGGGGTGTGATGGGGAACAGTTCCTACTTGGAGGGAAGCTGGGAGAAACACATTGCATAAATAACATCACAGGAGCCGATGCTAAAGTCAAACTGCTCCATCACTCTCCCAGAGTTTCAAGGTTCCCTCCCAAATTTAAAAGTGAAATAGGAAAAAAAGCAACCTGAGCACCAGCAATATGGCACACACACACGCATGCACAGAGCAGACACACACAAACTTATGCACCCTCACAAACAGGCTGGTAAGAACCACAAGGGAAAAAAATTTAAATTCCATCTCTTTCTCAGTGAAGCAGTGAATTTACACATTTCCTAGCCTTTAGTGCCTCTTTCTTTAACATATGACCTACAGAGAACTCTGAGATCTCTGAATATGAGAACTTTCCATCTGTCCTGTTCCTGAAAAATGAAGTCTGCATCACCCCAAATATCTACGTCATTGGATGTGGTGCATCATTTAGCTGCAAACCAAGATGATGTTGGTTTAAAATAAGAAGGGCACATACTATAGAATTCTCAAAACATTCTTTTATATTGTACCCTAAACAAGAGAAAGAAGTCCTACCCATACTGTTATTTGGATGAGCGGAGAAGAAAATAATGAGGTAACTAGTTTCAAGTTGGGCAGAACATCTGCCCAACCACGTTCACTCTTACAGAAGGTCTCCTTCTGTCCTTGCTTACGTTTGTCTGCAGTGGGAGAAGTGTTGTGATCCACAGCATTTGTCGTGCTGTGCAGTGAGACTCGTGATCAGCTCATCATTACTGCTGCACCTCAGCAGATTCTAAGATACAACTGGTGGCTGAGTTTGGGAGCAGCAGATGAAACCCCACTCCCTTGTAGTAATCCCCAGCAAATCTTCTGACAAGATGCCTCTTACTAGCCCCAGGGCATCCTGAGCGTATTCGCGTACCACAGTCTCCGTATCTGAGAAGCACATCTGCCAACTCTCCAGCATAAAATGTTAGATCAGTTTGGGGAATATTCTGATATGTGGAGCAGAGCTAGAAAAATGTGTATTTTGCTTGCCTGCCCAGGGTCAGTTGGCCTCCTGTTGAGTGGCCCCCAGCACTCCTGGCATGTCACACAGGAGCTGGGCACAGAAGATTTTTCTCTTGGGTATTGCAGGTGAATACTAAGAAATTAATTTCCTCTGCTCTCCCCATCAAAATCCATTCGGGGAGGAGGGAAAATAGTAACAAAGCAGTGTCTCCCTTGCAGTGCCCATTCCCTTTAGATTTACTAGTGTATGTGTGCTCCAGAGTCTCGTCCTTAGAGGCAGGGCTCAGCAGGCACAGCACTGGATGCTTTGCACTGGATGGACACTTTTTTCCACCCCACAGAGAACTATCATTGAGCGCTGATATCTGCAGCACTACACGCACTCTGAGCAGAGCTCCCTATTTCAGAGACTACAGCTTAAGTAGGAAATACACTAATGAGACAGGAAACCAATAAGAGACCATTATGCCAACTATTCATCCTGCTCCTGATGGATTGTCCCATGCGATACAGATCGTCTACTTAAAGTGGCGATGGCTTATTGTCCCATGCGATACAGATCGTCTACTTAAAGTGGTCTATATCATACTGCTCATTTCTGACCTTTGTAATTAGGAGTGTTGTGGACTGGGACATTTGTACCACTCATGGAGCTAAAGAAAGAAGATAAGAAACAGGAATCAGCAACCCGGCTGTTCTATGGGTGAATATCCAGCTAAGTTTTGGGTTTGGTTAGTTTGTTTGTTTTTTACAGCGACCATAATCTCAGGTATTAAATAATTGCATTTAAAACTGGAATAACATGTACATAACATGTAATCATATTCATATGGTAATTACTACACGTGATAAAATAACTTCACAACACGTTCAGCCATATACTACTTTAGTCAGAGTAATCCATTCGATTTCAGTCACGGGTACACAGGCCCTATAAATATAGAAGTACAATAATAAAATATAATCCCCAACAATGGTGCTGTGGTCATTCACAAAAAAAAAAAAAAAAAAAGAGGAAACCGTCCACTCTCTTAAATTAACCACTTCTAAGAGGTTGAGTTACAGACCTCCCTTCCAACTGTGGCATAAACTGACCACGAACCTACAGACTGCCTTCTTTAAAGCCATGATGGAAACAGTACGTGAGCTATCACTGCTGTTCTCTGAGACTCAGACACCCTGACAAGCATCTGTCTATGACAACAGTCAAAATCTTCTTCTGACAAACACATACTCTAAAATTCAGTAAATCTACAGAGTAACATAAATGTAATCTAATTTTTGTTTCTTAAAAAAGCAAAGTGAAAACAAAAAAGCAAATGTCTTCAAACTGAAATAAATGCAAACCCAAGTTTATCTGACTGAGCAGTCCCCTTACAGACAACAATTTATTTTAGCAACGTGACATCTAATGTTGCTGCCCTACATTCTTTATACATATGCATGTACAGATTGGAACATCTCCCATTGTCTGATAACTCATTGCTCATTTAATTGGTTTGTGTTTAGCAAAGTGGCTATTTCTCAGTGGGGACTAACCACACGCCAGCTATCAACCTTAAAGTAAAACCAATTATTAGTTCACAGTAAAGAAACAAGCTGTAATACATCTTAAAAAACGCAAATCTTCATTATAAACCGCTGAATGGAGATGCACAACTAGAAAGGTGGCAGCGGGTGAAGTTTTCTTGCACACAGAAGGAAAATATGTACAAATGTAGCTTTCCTCCCACCTTCCCAGCAGTAACAGCATATGGAAGAGACAGACTTGTGATTTTTTCTCTCTCATCACCAGGAAGGGTTCCCTGCTGGCTGCAATCAAGGTCTGTGAGCTCAGGGCTTCGCTTGGTGTCAACACCGAGACCCCAGGACCGTCCTTGTTTGGTGACACAGGTTTCAGAGCTATGGGGCATCCCACGCCAAGGCACTGGGCTACCAATTCACATTTCTATGTTCATCTTTTGTTTCATCAACTTCACACCAGCATGAAGTAGAGAAGCATTCGGCTAAATTTAAGCCACTTACGTTTCCCTAAATATAGAGTGGGGACTGAAAGCTGTAAGGCCAAGGTATTGCACAGACAAGCACTGAGAAAAGCACTCACACCTCACAGCTTTCATTTCCCTTTACCCTTGTCTCACAGGCACTGCCAGATATTTAGCCTGTCTGACAGAACTCACTAGCACCTGTAATATTTTTCTTTATTATAAGTAACAAAGCTGAGATTTTCATGTTATTTGACAGCATTTTACCTTTATAGTTGCATTCTCTGAGAATTCAACTTCCCTTCTTTGTTTGCCACATACACACCACTGGGATAATTCCTCTTCTATATATTGATGATTTTCTTTTACACACTTGTTGTTCATATGTTATGTACATCAAAATGACTTTAAATGCCAGGGCAGGAGCAGTAAGATAGCTGTATGTACTTATTCTGTGTGATTAATACTGAATGTAATCTTGTTCATAATATACTTTTACCTGTAAGTTATTACAAATGGTCTGAACATTTTCACTTCAAATTACCCCGAAGATGTCATAGCGCTTGCTCACTTCTAATATAAGTCTTTCTATCTGTCACCATTTGTCAGTGGTGCCGGGGCCAGAAAACATCCATCAGTGCAACGAGAATTCCCCTTAAAACAGTAAATGCTTTTAAAGTTGAAATGCTGTGTTCAGGATGTTAACATGAAGACCCCCCCAAGTGTGTGGGGGGGTCTTCTCTCTGAAATCGGTGCCAATCTCTTGGTGTAGAGGCATCAAACGTGACTATGGAACAAGAAGAATAAAGCTTATGGTGCCAGAGCTGTACGTGACCCACTGCAGATGCTTTTGGGACACAGCACCCACCGTCCCACCAAGCACAAGGAGCTCCCTCCACCAC